CGCACATATACCAAGTCACACGCACTCACAAAGCCCTGACAAGAGAAAACAATCAATGGAATCAGAAAACAACAACTTCATATTATTTGGTCACGTACATATCGGTAACGTATGAATCAAATGGACAATTTTCACAGATAGTTGAAGGCAAGAAATCTTTTTTGTCTCGTTTTCTTTTATTTTAATGTCACATTAAGGCAATAGTGTTGGCCCACAGAACGAAAGAACTAATGAAAATAGAATAAATAAATATTTACACGCTTCGTGGTAACGTATGTATTGGTAACACATGTCTTAAATTAACGTAACAAAGAATAATGAGCGTCGTAAAACCATGCGTGCTCACATATACAAAGTCCCAGGCACTCACAAAGTCATGAAAACAGAGAACAATCAATGAAATAAGAAAACAACATCTTCATATTTTTGTTTACGTATGTATCAGTAACTTATGTATCATATGAACAATTTTCACAAATAGTTGAAGGCAAGAAATCTAATTTTTCTCGATTTCTTTTGTAACGTAACATTAAGACATAATTGATGGCGCACAAAATAAAAGACAACCAAGGGAAATAGTTATCATTGAGCGTGTCAATATTTTTATTTATTGTTTGTTGTCCGTTTTATGAGCAAACGCCTTATTCTTACGGTATACTACATTACAATAAGAAAGAAAAGCAGGGCAAGTTAAGATTACTTGTCTTGAAACCGATTGTTCAAATTGTTTATATGATACATAAGTCACCGATACATACGTTACCAAATAATGTGAAAGTATTGTTTTCTGATTTCATTGTTTGTTCTCTGTTGTCGCGACTCTGTGGTTGCGTGTAACGTTGTATATGTGCGCACGCATGTTATTACGTCGCTCATTCTTCTTTGTTACGTTAAAATGATACATACGTTACCATAAAGCGTGTTAATATTTTTTTTTCTATTTTCATTGGTTGTCTTTCCTTTTGTGCGTCAACACTTTTTCAATGAAACACAAATAAGAGTCATAAGTGTTGGCCCGCAAAGCGAAGAAAACCAATGACAATAGACTAATTATTTACACGCTTCATGGAAAAGTATGTGTCGGTAACGTATGTATCATTTTAACGTAACAAAGAAGAATAAGCGACGTAAAAACAAACGTGCGCAAATATACAACGTCACACGCAACCACAGAGTCGCGACAACAGAGAACAAACAATGAAATCAGAAAACAATACCTTCACGTTATTTGGTAACGTATGTATCATATTTACGTAACAAATAAGAATGAACGCCGTAAAACGTAGTGCGCACATATACAAAGTCACACGCACTTACAAAGCCGTGACAACAGAAAACAATCAATGGAATCAGAAAGCAACACGTACATATCGGTACCGTATGAATCAAATGGACAATTTTCACAGATAGTTAAAGGCAAGAAATCTTTTTAGTCTCGTTTTCTTTCATTTTAATGTCACGTTAAGGCATAAGTGTTGTCCCACAAAACGAAAGAACTAACGAAAATAGAATAAATATATATTTACACGCTTCGTGGTAAATAAACGTTTTCAATTAACGTTACAAAGAATAATGAGCGTCGTAAAACCATGCGTGCTCACATATACAAAGTCACACGCACTCACAAAGTCATGAAAACAGAGAACAATCAATGAAATAAGAAAACAACATCTTCATATTTTTGTTTACGTATGTATCAGTAATTTATGTATCATATGTACAATTTTCATAGCTAGCTGAAGGCAAAAAATGTAATTTTTCTCGATTTCTTTTATTGTAATGTAACATAAAGACATAATTGATGGCGCACAAAACAAAAGACAACCAAGGGAAATAGTTACCATTGAGCGTGTAAATACTTTTATCTTTATTGTTTGTTGTCCTTTTTGTGAGCAAACGCCTTATTCTTACGGTATACTACATTACAATAAGAAGGAAAAGCAGGGCAAGTAAAGATTACTTGTCTTGAAACCGTTTGTTCAAATTGTTTATATGATACATACGTCACCGATACATACGTTACCAAATAATGTGAAGGTATTGTTTTCTGATTTCATTGTTTGTTCTTTGTTGTCGCGACTCTACGGTTGCGTGAAACGTTGTATATGTGCGCACGCATGTCATTACGTCGCTCATTCTTCTTTGTTACGTTAAAATGATACATACGTTACCATAAAGCGTGTAAAAAATTTTTATTCTATTTACATTGGTTGTCTTTCCTTTTGTGCGTCAACACTTTTTTAATGAAACACAAATAAAAGACATAAGTGTTGGCCCACAAAGCGAAGAAAACCAATGAAAATAGACTAATTATTTACACGCTTCATGGTAACGTATGTATCGGTAACGTATGTATCATATTTACGTAACAAAGAAGAATAAACGACGTAAAAACAAGCGTGCGCACATATACAACATCGCACTATTATGAAAACCTCAGATAAGGAAGCAGAACTCTGACTAGGCTATCTTTCTTACTTTAGTCTATTTATTTATTTTATTTCTGTAACATATACAAACATTTTGAGATGGGGAAATATCAATAGAACAAATTTAAATGTCCCATTTTCTCCAATATGAGATGCTGAATATAGACGCTAATCGCCAGTCGCCTCTGCCTCCGCCCACTCTTGTCTCCCACTGCAAAAACGATAATGGTTTCTCAACGTCAGAATCAGATCTGAAAAATGATACTAGTTTCTGGTTGCTAGAATCGATTTTGAAAAATGACAGTAGTTTCTGGCTGCCAAGATTGTTTATTCTTATTGAATAAAAGCAAATTTAGTCAACCATTCAACACGGCGAGAAACTCAGGGACAGACCTGTGCGCTGTATCGGGTCGGATCTGAAAATCGACACTACTTTTTGGTTGCCAGAATCGTTTTTGAAAAAATGAAATATATTCAAACTTTATTTTTATGATCAAGTGATGTTATAGTGTAAGTACAAGCGTTTTTTCTGTCATACAAATATGACATTGCTTTTTCTTAAACTTTAACCTCAAACATAAATGAAAATTAAAGGGTGTGAAAATTGCATGGTTATCCAAGCCCGTTCGACTGAGTCTGCTCAAAATCAATTCAATAGAAATTCAATTTTGGGGTCTGGCGTTCACCTACTGTCTACCACCATACTGTGCTTTGTTTGATCCGTTTGTCCTAGATTTTATTTCAACAAGTTTTCAGGCAACAAAAGCTCTAGACATTATGACAATTTGGCTAACATTTTATTTCGAAATGAGCACCAGTTGAGTTTGCATTTTGTTGATCACATCACCATTTATACATATATATAATGAATATGTGTACACTGGTAACACGCACCTGGAGGCGACCGCGAATCGCAATGCAGTGCTTTTTTCAACACAAAATAAATCCTCATTGTTAGGTTTAACTTGAAAGTAAATTTATGGTTGGTAAATCAGTAAACATTAAAGCTATGTTTATAATTTCTTTTTTACCTTTATAAAATTATAATCTTGCATTTGCCATTGTTTGGGAAGTTTATGCTGCGTTTATCGCCATATTTACGATGAAAATTATCAAGAATAGTAGAAATATGAATTTAACTCTCTTAACTGGAAATATACGTTAAAAGTAATTCTTGTTAGGTTTAATGATTTTAACCGACCGAGAGAGCGTTGTTGAAGCCAACATGCGACTATACTCAACACAGATAATATAAATTCAAATGTTTTTAGAAGGATGGTTAGGCCCACTGAAATGGAAATTGTAGCGGTGTATTTCACAGGGATGAATTTTATAACCTACAGCTTCATTCATTTGACATATAACAATCGAATATGAAATAAAAGTTTCCAAGACGAGTAAAGCGCGAGTGGCATCAAATGTCCCAACTGACTGCCTTTGTGTAGCTGTGAACGGTAATAAGTCATATTGAAGTATGCGAAATTTTATATTTAAACAGGAATTCTCTACTAAAAGTAAAAGTGCCCAAAAATGGGCTCTGTTAGTATGTGACTTTCAATGCCATCGACCTACTTTCGGCCTTTACTTTCGACTGTCTTGTATATTAGTGTTTCTGTTTACTAAGTCATAGCGGATTATAACGCAAGATCATCTTAGGGTGCTTTCCCAGAGCTTTAGATCGATCTAAGGATTAAGTTTTAGATCGACCTAACTCCCTGGGGGTTCACGCTAAATTGCACTCAGCCGAGCGGGCACCATAGTTAATTACCCCATTACAGCTTTTAGTAGGCGGGACAGACGCTTAAGCCGGCCAAGCAGACAGTAATCTAGTGAGACTCCCCGCGGGGATAGATCGATCTAAAAATCTATGGAAATGGGGTGTTTGATGTGGTCTGTCAGTCACGTATATGCGACAAACTCTTACATATCGAAAATATCTGAGTCCTGCATCGTAAATGTATTGAGTTTAATGCGAATATATTAATTTATAATTAAATTATTTAATGCTTGATTCGAATCGTTCCGTCAACTCACCGAATCTTAAAAAGTGCTTTTTTTCGTGGGGGAATAGATAAAAACGACCCCTTCTAAAATCCTGGATCCGCCCCTATATATAAAGTACTCCTTCAGTAACATCAAGAGGTGTTCGTTTCTTACATCTGCATCAGAATATATTTATGTAAGACGGTTGACTTTGGGGGCTCTAATCAAACTCGGGATAATCTAGGTATCGGTCCGAGTTATGCCCGGCGAAAGAGTTACGCAACACCGCAGGTTCATTTCCAAAAAAATATTTTACCTTGGCATTGCCAACATTACTAGTTTTAAGGAAAAAAAGCTACGTGGCAGAAATCGACAAATCTTAAATTAAGTTTAAGTGAGAATGGACAATTGAAAAGAATTTTGACTGATTATTAAAGGAGCCACGTGCATAGGCAATGCGACTCCACTAAAATAATTTTGCAAGTCTGGTGATTATTTTCCTCAGCTGTATAAGCCTTTTTTTTAAACAAAAAGAAAAATTAGAGAATATAGTTTTATTCAACTATTGTATACAGTGACATTCAATTTCAAGTACTTTAGTAATCATAAATGAATCATGTACATGCAATGAATCAATAAATGGTAGTACCCGATGCCCTCGGGCCGTGGGGAAAAACCCGTCTAAACCCTTCGTGGGGAATGCTGGGAAAATGCCCACGCCCGGATGCTTCTTGAAACAGTTTTTTTTATTGGCCCGGCGCTTTACAGTTCATAAATATTGTCCATATATAATACAGCATGGTGCAACTGAATAAAGTTTTGCTCGTGCTACAAACTATTCTCTGTATACATTAGACTGGTACACAAAATGAAGTACAAGAATTTACCAAAGTACATGTAATTCCTACTGAAAAAGGTACTGAAGACAAGACATTTACTAAGTCTTAACACAATTAAACCAGGGCTTATTTTAACTTCATCTAGGAATATGAAGTCATAAATAAAGTAACTCGATCCTTTTAAAACAGAAAGCATACATCAAAACCTGGTATAGTTCTCTCTCGTGATAAAATATACAAAAGTTCAGGTAATATTATTATTACCCAGACAACTCAATGATTGAAATTAACTTATCACTGTTTAAAACAGAAGTTTCTCAAATGTAATTTTGCCCTGACATCGCAACTATCTGTATGATATAAATAAAGAATAAAGCAAGCTTTCTTCTACATATTTTAGGTTTCACATTACACTGTATGACCGTCCATGCAAATTTCAATTCGAATTTTTCGGGTTCGGAGAAAAAAGGTGCATATATGATGAATTGGATATATTTGTCAACTATAACACTTGAGAAAATCATAATATATTAGTAATATTAGTAATGCGCGGGTTACTTGAGGTTAGTGTGCGGCTTATGATCTTCTCAAATGCTATACTGACGAATATCTCCACATCATCAAAAGCACAAATTTGAAAAATGACTACATCACTAAGATTGAAATAAAACACAGACGACCATAAGTGGTGGTACCACCATTGTTTTGCGAGCGAAAAACTGTCTGCATTTAGAATGTGGATAAAGCAACTGGATATTCTATTTGAAATTTTAATAATAACTGTAAAGGCAGGCTTAAGTTTTTCACACGGAAACACAGTTCATCTTATTCAATTGAACACTGGAATAATGACTGATCATACTGAACTTCAGTTTTATCTTAACTTTTCTTAAGCTATTGTGAAAAAATGTTTTCCCGTCATAAGTGAAAAACTTATTAAATGCAATTACACCCGATTCATATCTGTGACCTATGAAGCGCAAAAATCCTCAATAAATAAAAGACTCGAGTACATTGGATTGTATTCCTCTTACATTCAGTACAACGCTCTTCATTACCATTCTACATTTTTTTTTTTTTTTTTTTTTTTTGCAGACAAGCTGTGTCCTTTAAAACCAATACTGCCAGGACGTCCGATCATCAAATAAAAAAGTGTCCACAGGGGCTCGTTGCTAGCAACATTAAATGTTTCGCATCTTGGACATTTGGTCTAGGATTGATGGTATCTGCGTTCGGGCATTGTTTCTGGCAAAGTGCCCTTTCGTAACCTACAAATGAAATGTAAAATGTTCACACAAAAGTATGAAAAGTAATTGAAAACTTGCAGTAATTGCAACAAAGAACATGTCACTGGTATTCACACACCATTAACTATAGTAAATATTGTTTCATAATGCTTTGGTTCTTAATACGGTTATTTTATTTTATATCATTTTATTTCTATAACACAATACAATAAAAACATTCTGCATTCTGCAAATAGAAAGTTACTAGGAAAATAAGAGGGATAAAAGGAAGAAATATGAATCACGAAAACGCTTTTAAGCGTTAATTGTTAAAACAATCTGAAACGAGATGAAAGTACATGCTCACCTGTGCGATGGTCTCTTCGTACCACAACCTCAGGACTGAGGGCGAGATTGGGGGGTAGTAGCTCCTAGTATTCTAGACTAGTGACAACGTCACGTCTGTCACAGTGAAACTGATGAAGATCTGAAAGTTGGCCGATAGGGTGTCAAAATATTTTGAATGAGTGATTTTTTTTCAAGTTTGTGATAAAGTAAAAGCTTTTGACCACAGAAATTAATTTTTTTTACATAAGTATATTTCAAGTTTGTGACTAATTGCAAGAGCTTTTGGATTCTAAAATGTCTGCTATATGATTTCCTTGGGTAAAATGTAAATAGAAAACAAATATCTACATTTAGTGACTAGACTACAGTTTCCGAACAGTCTAATTTAAAACAATTTTGTCTAAGACGTTGCACAAAATGTTCAGTTTGTTGAATTTGCATTGACAAAAGATTTGTAATGCCTACAGAATAAATGGCAATCAAGTTCCCTGTTCACCCTCTACCCTTGCCCATAACTTACCTCAAAGGGTCCTAAATTTCAATGGTATCACGACTAGGTAAGGACTCGAAATCCTATATGCTTTCTCCATTTTAACCTTATGAAAGTGGACCATCATCAGGGCAGGCGCTCACCAATGCCATTTGTCTCAACTTAAAAACAGAAATTTTGAAGACTTTAGTTTCCCTATTTACCTCTCCTCCCTACCCGATCCACTAAGCTTATTTTTTTTATTTATTTCAGAAGTGGGTCAAGGGGGAGATACATTGCCTTGTGAAAGTGAGCTGTAAAATTTATGTGGCTAAGGGCTTTATCTCAAGAATTTTGTATGGTAAGAAAAATGACTTTAGTGTTATTCTCCGCAATAACACGAGTTACCTTTTACGGCTTGGAAGATTTCCATTTCCGAGAAACACCTTATGCTTCTGATGTTCCCCCATGCAGCCACCTTATAAACAGACCATGGCTAGAATCTTCTAACGAAAAGTGAGAGCTCTATCTGGACTTGCCGTAATCGAATTCTGTAAATAGAAAGGAAAAATGGCATTAGTTTTTCCCCGATACTTCCCTCCCCCAACGTACTAACTTTGAAAAGTGGTTTATCATAAAAGGGTGGTTAATGGCCGAGAAAAATCATTTTACGGTGACAGTGGATCGTTTCATAACAGCGCATGTCTAAGGGCTTTTCTACCAGAACCTTGACAACTAACATCATTTTCATTTTGCTTAAAATAGTAATAAGTTTTATAAGAAGATCGAAATTGCAATTATTTGATACAAGTAATAACTCTATTTTAATCCTTTTGATCTAAAATTAAAGACTAAAAAACTTTTCATGAAACCCATATCAGTGATCTTAATGAGTAGAGACGAGTACCTGTGCCATGATTTCACCAAACTGAGAAGTAACCCTTCAGGTCATCGTCTGTGCTCTTCCAAAGCAAACCCAGCACTATTACGATACTAAACTTCTTGCCGTCCTGCTGCTTTGTTTTCACGTTGCGATTTTCCAGGGTCTCATCTTTTTTGTTCTCTAAAACGGTAACACTTTCTAATTATTATGTTTATTAAATTACCAACCATTCGTCTATTTTCTGCACAATCAATGACTGACATACTAATTATTGTTCGGACAAGTAGATTTGTCAGAATGTTTAAATTGGTTATTTGACAATTACATTTTCCAAGTTATATTAATATAATTGTTACATCATAATTCTAAAAATGTGAAGGTCTCGTTAATAATGATATAAAAATGCATTCCAGTCCAGTTTTATTAAAATTTAAATTCGGACCGACGAATCCTGACTCAGACCAGTAGTTTTCAGGAAAGTTGAGGTCCGAATGGCCAGTAAGGTGAAAAGTTTATGGCAAAGACTGCAACTAAAAACGCATTTTAGTCTATTTCTCTCCCCAATAACACGGGTTACCTTAAAGGATTTTCCATCTCAATGAAACACTATATTCCTTGGACGCTTCCCCAGTGCAGCCACCTCGTAGCAACTCGTAGACAGACCATGGCAGGACTTGCTGGACGCTTCCCTAATGCAGCCACCTCGTAGACAGGCCGTGTCTGGACTCGCTGGACGCTCCCCCAATAAAACCACCGCGTAGCCGGACCATGGCGGGACTCGCTGGACGCTTCCCTAATGCAGCCACCTCGTAGACAGGCCGTGTCTGGACTCGCTGGACGCTCCCCAAATAAAACCACCGCGTAGTCGGACCATGGCGGGACTCGCTGGCACCAAGCATTGATCGGAGTCGCTGAAGCGTAGATGTGGTCCTCTTTTCCTGCCTGTAGTCGGTGCTCTCTCGAGAATCGCCATAACCAAGTTCTGTTAACAGAAAGAAAAACGGATTAATAACTTTTCCAACCTATGTCAGTACTCTGCAGTCAGGCTTACCTTTAAGGGTTTTTCATCTCAGTGAAAAACCGCATGCCGTGGACGCTTCCCCAATTCAGCCACCTTGTAGACAGACCATGGCAGGACTCGCTGGACGCTCCCCCAATTGCAGTCACCTCGTAGACAGACCATAGCGGGACTCTCTGGCACCAAGGATTGATCGGAGTCGCTGAAGCGTTGAAGTGGCCCTCTTCTCCTTCCTGTAGTCGGAGCTCTCTCTCGAATCGCCATAATCGAGTTCTGTTAACAGAAAGAAAAACGAATTAATGACTTTTCCAACCTATGTCAGCACTCTGCACTCAGGCTTACATTTAAGGTTTTTCCATCTCAGTTAAACAACATACCTTGGATGCTTCCCCGATGCGGCCACCTCGTAGACAGACCATGACAGACTCACTGTAGGCTCCCCCAACGCAGCCACCTCGTAGACAGGCTTTGACAGGACTCGCTGGCACCAAGGAGTGATCGAAGTAGCTGAAACGTAGATGTGCCCTCTTCTCCTTCCTGTAGTCGGAGCTCTCTCAAGAATCGCCATAACCGAGTTCTGTTAACAGAAAGAAAAACGGATTAATGTCTTTTCCTACCTATGTCAGCACTCTGCAGTCAGGCTTACCTTTAAGGGTTTTTCATCTCAGTGAAAAACCACATGCCGTGGACGCTTCCCCAATGCAGCCACCTCGTAGACAGACCATGGCAGGACTCGCTGGCACCAAGGAGTGATCGGATTAGCTTAAGCGTAGATGTGGTCCTCTTCTCTTTGCTGTTTTCAGTGGGAGCTCTATCGAGAATCGCCTTGATCGAGTCCTGTTAACAGAAAGAAAAACGGATTAATGACTTTTCCAACCTATGGAGCACTTTGCAGTCAGGCTTACATTTAAAGGTTTTCCATCTCAGTTAAACACCACATACCTTGGACGCTTCCCCGATGCAGCCACCTCGTAGACAGACCATGGCAGGAGTCACTGTTCGCTCCCCCCAACGCAGCCACTTCGTAGACGGGCTTTGACAGGACTCGCTGGCACCAAGGAGTGATCGAAGTAGCTGAAGCGTAGATGTGGCCCTCTTCTCCTTACTGTAGTCGGAGCTGTCTCTCGAATCGCCATGATCGAGTTCTGTTAACAGAAAGAAAAACTAATTAATGACTTTTCCAACCTATGTCAGCACTTTACGGTCAGGCTTACATTTAAGGGTTTTCCATTTTTAGTTAAACACCACATACCTTGGACGCTTCCCCAATGGAGCCATCTCGTAGACAGACGATGGCGGGACTCGCTGGACGCTTCCCGAATGCAGCCACCTCATAGACAGGCCATGGCGGGACTCTCTGGCACCAATGATTGATCGGAGTCGCTGAAGCGTAGATGTGGTCCTCTTCTCCTTCCTGTAGTCGGAGCTCTCTCAAGAATCGCCATAACCGAGTTTTGTTAACAGAAAGAAAAACGGATTAATGTCTTTTCCTACCTATGTCAGCACTCTGCAGTCAGGCTTACCTTTAAGGGTTTTTCACCTCAGTGAAAAACCACATGCCGTGGACGCTTCCCCAATGCAGCCAAGCCGTAGACAGACCATAGCGGGGCACTCTGGCACCAAGGATTGATCGGAGTCGCTGAGGCGTAGATGTGGTCCTCTTCTCCTTCCTGTAGTCAGAGCTCTCTCGAGAATCGCCATAACCGTGTTCTGTTAACAGAAAGAAAGACGAATTAATGACTTTTCCAACCTATGTCAGCACTCTGCAGTCAGGCTTACATTTAAGGGTTTTTCCATCTCAGTTAAACACCACATACCTTGGACGCTTCCCCTATGCAGCCACCTCGTAGACAGACCATGGCAGGACTCGCTGGCACCAAGGAGTGATCGGATTAGCTTTAGCGTAGATGTGGTCCTCTTCTCTTTGCTGTTTTCAGTGGGAGCTCTATCGAGAATCCCCTTGATCGAGTCCTGTTAACAGAAAGAAAAACGGATTAATGACTTTTCCAACCTATGTCAGCACTTTGCGGTCAGGCTTACATTTAAGGGTTTTCCATCTCAGTTAAAATCCACATACCTTGGACGCTTCCCTGATGCAGCCACCTCGTAGACAGACCATGGCAGGACTCACTGTACGCTCCCCCAACGCAGCCACTTCGTAGACGGGCTTTGACAGGACTCGCTGGCACCAAGGAGTGATCGAAGTAGCTGAAGCGTAGATGTGGCCCTCTTCTCCTTCCTGTAGTCAGAGCTCTCTCGAGAATCGCCATAACCGTGTTCTGTTAACAGAAAGGAAAACAACCTATGTCAGCACTCTGCACTCAGGCTTTCATTTAAGGTTTTTACATCTCAGTTAAACGACACATACCTTGGATGCTTCCCTATCGCAGTCACCTCGTAGACAGGCTTTGACAGGACTCGCTGGCACCAAGGAGTGATCGGATTAGCTGAAGCGTAGATGTGGCTCTCTTCTCTTTGCTGTTTTCAGTGGGAGCTCTATCGAAAATCGCCTTGATCGAGTTCTGTTAACAGAAAGAAAAACGGATTAATGATTTTCCAACCTATGTCAGCACTTTGTGGTCAGGCTTACATTTAAGGGTTTTCCATTTCAGTTAAACACCACATACCTAGGACGCTTCCCCAATGCAGCCACCTCGTAGACGGATCATGGCGGGACTCGCTGGCACCAGGGAGTGATCGGAGTAGCTGAAGCGTAGATGCGGCCCTCTTCTCCTTGCTATTTGAGTGGGAGCTCTATTGATAATCGCCATAATCGAGTTCTGTTTAAAGAAAAAAAAACGGATTAATGACTTTTCCTACCTATGTATACAATAAGAAGAAACCTGGAATGCATGAAAATATATACAATAACCCTACAACAACATAGTCCTCAACAACAGAAAGCCGACGATGTATCCTGCGAAGAATTCCGAGCGACGATTCCTTGTGGAGAGAAGCGAAGGTTTTAGCTGGCCAGCTTAGAGAAACGTCGAATCCACCGTCCAGACGACTGTGTGTGCAAGAAACATGTCGATGAGCGATGCGATGACTTGGGACGAGAAAGAGATTCGGAGAAATGCGAGTTGATTCCTGTGTCCTTTGTGCTTGATACTGGGCGCAGTACATGGCATCCTTCTTGTTCCTCCAGATTTGTCTGCGTTGAATGAACGCAATTTCAAAATTTCGCGCTTTTATACCTTCATTGAGGTAAAGTCACATGGTAGCGTTTCTGGTCAACTTGTCTTTAGGGGGTGGCGTTTGATAGTGATGCCCAAAAATATCTTTTTGACATACACATTTAAAAAACTATTCTTATTTTGATTATTCTGTTTATCGTTTTATAGTATAATAAGAGTAATAAGTACTAAGCAGTGACTTCGAAATGTACAGCCAAAATTGATGACAATTTCTGAACAACATACCTTCTCCCCCAAATTATAATAGACCCGATGTCCGTTAAACTGGTACAGGTAGCCGTGAACTTCTCACTTCTTGAAGGCCACTATAGAACGTGTGTATTCAAACACTGATCCAAAATGTGGATTATGTAATAGGGCGTAGGGTGACTGCATTTTCGAGGCAGCCCGAGGGAGCATGATTGTTTTGATTGTAGTGAATTGTTGTAAGTCAATTGAAAGTACACTGGACTTAGCATGTACAGCCATCTCAGTACTATAAAACATATTTTGTAACCAACTGGGTTGTTATTCTGAGAAATGAAAAACAAGTTATTGTGATTTTACGAAACGAAAGAAAGCAGCAGTAGGCCACATGAAAAATCTTGGTAAAATTAGACCAGGCAGCAGAAACATGAATACTTTGGCACATCAAAGATCTACAGATATAGGTAATAATTAACAACGGACGCCTCCATTCGTGACCTCGGGTTATCAGCACTCTGATGCCAGTGGCATGAGTAGAGAAAAAAAAAACGAAAAAAAAAAAATGAATAAGACAATAAGATTAAAATTGAAATTAAATATTTCTCATTTATACGTTCATTTTATCCCCTTGAACTTTAGTTGAAAACTGCACTTTTTAATACGCGTTTTAACGTTACTATAAGTCTGAGAGGTCACTGGCCTTCTTTCACATCTCCCTGGCGATCACACAACCTAAGTTGTCGAACACTAGAGCTTACATGCTAATAGATCAAATGCTCGTTATCAATGTTTTCATGGCCAGGCACGTAACAGCTCCATTTGTGTTTTTTAAGTAAGGTGATCGATACTGCTTGAAACTCGGGACTTGCTTCGCCTGCCACGAGAACACTCACTGATTCTCAATTTATAGGCCCATTTAGCATTTCATTTTAAAAATATTAAGAATTAACGAGAGAAAATTTGTTTGTCCAAGTGGAATTTTACTTACATCAGTATTACAACTTTTAAAAATCACTGCAAAAATATTAAAAAATCATTGCAAAAATAAATAAAGAAAAAGATATCTTTACCTGTTCTGACATAAAAATCGATCTAAAATTTAAACCATATAATTGTTGTAGGCAGCGCCATCTCACTCTCTCCAATCTAATGTACAAAATCAATGTGATGTTTCAGAAAATGCCGATGTTAATACTTATTTTAAATAACGCAATAAATAGATCGCCGCTACGTCACCTGGCTTTTAAAAATTGAAAAAAAAAAAAAAAAAAAAAGTGAGGTCCTTTGTCGCAGGTCATTATTTTTAGTTGTTTGATGTTTTTGTAATATTTCAGCCATTGACAGAATCTTAAGTTATATCCATGATAAGTTAGACGGTATGATGACAGGGCACAGTTAATTGTTTTACACAAAATTGCATTCTCATTGACAGTTATTTGCCAAATATTCATTAAAAGGCATTGTGAAAAATGTACTTGAAGTTGAGGACAAAATGTGCCAGTAAAATGAGTGTGCATCTCGTAACCCCTTAAGTGTAGTCTATTTTTTGTTAGTATTGTAACGTGCGAATATTATCCAAAATGTTTGTTTTTTACAATTAAAAAGACCCCTGACCCCCCCTCCGGTTTCTGAAAAAAAGAATCACACTGATATTCCCCTTTTGGAATTAGAAATTTGACTAGTTGTTTTATAGTTCTTTACCGTTCAAACTGTTTGCCCTCAAAAACACTCCAAGGGGGCCGAGAGTCGGCCTGTTATTCCTGAAAAATCAGACCCCCCCTTCAAATAATCCTGGATCCGCCCCTGCTAGCCATGGGAGCAGCAGCAAAGAGCATGGATAGTTGCCCCATGGTCCTTACATTTTACTCCATTTCTCCGTTTCTGAAATTGGAAAATAAACTTCCACCGTGTTTGTATACCTATATATATGAATACTACTGCCGGTGGCATAAAATTTTACATTTACAGTATATTAAAGGGATAACAACGTATAATATCCATATTTAACAAAAAATACATTGTAAACAACTCATAGAAATATAATTATAATAATCAATTCTGTTTTACCACCAAAACAGCAGTAAATGCGATATTTCTGGAATTTGTGCTTGCTATCATGACGTGTGACCTCCATAGATGGCGCCACTCAGTAATAATTTCTTAAGAGAATATTACAAAAAATCAAACTTTTTAGAAAAAACAAACAAGGACTAACTCTGAATGTTGGAATGAATTCATTAAACATTGTTAAGTATGGGAAATTGTCTTTTTCCCCAGGAAATCCACTTTCTGGCCAAAATGTTGTTATCCCTTTCACACATATATTGTACATATATTAACACATACAAGAAAGATCGAAAGTAGGTCATTGGCACTGAAAGTCACAAACTCACATGATCTGATTAGGAGAAAAGCTGGTTTAGATGGTATTTTAGGCTAATGAATACTGTATTATAGGGAATTGCAACAGATTTTCTTCCTCAATTGAAGTATCAAATCTGTGGTCCTACAGTGTAAACAAACTTTCAGTCTCATTTTCATTGGTGAAACTATCAACAGGGACCTACTATCAACTTGATATCAAAACAAATAAAAGAAACACCACAATTAACTGTGAACAATTTTTTTATTAACACAATATAGTAACATTAAAAAACTTGTATTTATACATGCTTTAATTTGACCCTACTGATTGTTAAACAGCTTGCTTAACTCTGAACATTTTTATATCAACACAATTCACTAACACTGAAAAAACTTGCATCTCTTCATGTCTCTAGTCTACCATGCTCAATTAATCCATAACATTAATTTAACGTTACTCCTTCAAAATAACATGCCATTCCAATAAACAACATTACCCCCTTTTATTTTCTCCAACCTTGAAATATATACTTGAAGAACATTAAAAAAATTCATATTAATATGGACTGAAGTTAACCCTACTTTTAAGGGCATTAAATCCAAAATATCCATGCATTCCATAAATCTAGCTGAAGTTCTTATTTAAAAACCAATCTCTTCAAATTTGAAATGTAGATTGTGTATGCTACATTTAACCAAAGTGGAAAATATATATACCGGGATATATATATCTTCTGCTGGAAATAAAAAATACACCGACAAAGAATTATATACGAATATTTACTTGTTAATATACTGATGAAAACTTAGACTTTATTAACCTGACAAACACAAAGGAATGCATAGGTTTCATTGATTAGACCTAATCACTACACAGTTTACTAATACATCATTGTTAAATCAGAGATACATGGCATAATAACCAGAACTTCTGTATATCTTATACAGAACAAAATTACTATATTACCTATGTTTCAATCATTCTGTAAAATAATAATCTTTTAAAATTATAATCTTATTCTACTAATCACAATCAATGTTTTCACATGGTACAAACAATAATAAGTATTCATTTCTTGCATTGGTTGGAAATAATAAGTCAATGCCTGTAAATCGGTTTTACTACTTTTGTTATCAATATAATAGTACATTAAATAAAATTATGCAAATTAAGTGTACATTGTACACAGTTTTTGCTTCAAACTTTTAAGTAATAAAAATTATTTATGTCTTTTGAAGCTGTGCATCTGTATATATACATAAAAAACAAAAATCATGTGTATCTTCTACAAACACTCTTTCCTTATAATGGTGGAATATCCATACCATTTTCATTTGGAATGAATTGCAATTCGTCTATTTGTGTTCAATGTAAATATTTACAATAATACTTCTACTTACCCATAATTTGATTATTTAACTCACATAAACGTCTTAAAAATACTTAATGGAAAGCTTACTTAGACATTTTGAACTGTCAGATTGTATAATAAATGGGTAACGAACAAAGTCATAACCTTATATGACTTCCAAATACATTCACTGGACCCATATTTTGAACTCTTGTACTTGCTTAGCTTCCAATTTACCTCCTTACATTCAGTAAAGAAAGGACACAAGTCAAAGGCAGGAAAAACCATCACAGAAAAAACAACATACTTTTAGCACTTGTGATCCTTCTTAAGTCACTAAACTCCAACCAAATAAACTGTTTTTGCTCTTTTCACAACCTTAGTGTGCACTATGAGCACCATCACAAATATACCCTATCAAATTTGATATTAAGTCATTGTTAAGAGATATAACATTTGGTGATTGAAGTCACCAGTGTTCCAATTGTTTGGGGAACCATTTTGGCAGCATTAAAAGACTTCTTGGTGCCTGCTGCTTCATAGTTGCTGCCTTACTTCTATTTTGTAATTCCAAAGGAGCTTTTCTTTTTAACTGGGAATTTTTTCATAAATTTACCAGCAAATCAAAGTTCACTTATGGGCAAAACCTCTGTTTAGGATCAAATTATCTCTCTACAACTTCAGAAAAACTGCTGTGACTCCTACACAAATTCCATCAGTTTTGATCACATGTCTGGAATCATCTACTGCCTCAATTTGTTCCAAATTCAGTGTTTCAAATACCACACCCTTCTTTCAATCTATTACCTTAATGAATTCAATCGTAATAACCACTGAATAACATAACCAGTGATGTTGCAATTCCTCTGTCTGATTTTTCAAGGACACACTTTTCCAACTGGCATGACTTAAATTACAGTCAAAACACCATCATATAATATCATTTCAATGGCGAGTGTCTATCTCTACTTATTCATTCTGAATACTAAACTTAGCCTTTAAGTCAGGTTGCACTTCACCATTCAGCCATTGAAAGAATCATATATATCATCTCTGGCAATAAACACTGTTCACCTCCTGCCATGTATATTGAATGACCATCCATTTGTGAGGCTCATTTTGAAAACTGTCTCAACTCCATATTTGATTCCGTAAATTACCTGTGTAGTAACACTTTGTTGCCCATGGATTAAGATTTTCAACAGAGAGTCAATTTTCACCCTGGCTGAATGAGAGCAAGACAGATGAAGAAATACAAAGGATTCCTGTTGTATTTGGCATCAGAGTGGTTTTTTTTTAAATATTCTTTTAAGGTGCAGTTTTTTACTGTTCCATTGTTTAGCATAAACTTTGCTTTGCTTTAGTGGACAGGGCTTAATTCACTCAAAGTCTTTCATTTTCACAATCTCTATGCAAAAGGCACCAATATGAACAATGCTGTCTGACACATAGCACACACATTGGTTGAAGAAGGCAATCTCAATGAAGCCTTCTGTATTTATCTTGTTCTCCAATGAAAGAAGGAACAAATACAACTTGACTGCTGTCTATATAAGAACTCCAACATGACTAAATCTGTTCAAGTTGGCCTCTTTTTCTCCGTACTCTTATACCAGGTACTGTCCTGTGCAGTCCTTATCAATTTACTTCTCAAACTATTACAAGATCCAGTGTAAGTTGCTATCTGAAAATATTCTGATACTCTGTTAGCATCACTTCTACTATATTGCTTTGGAACATCATACTGATGGCCATGTTGTGGCTTTCTTTTTCCGGCCACATCAGTGTGGGACCGAATACGATGGCAATGTTTTGAACCTGCATCCTGTTTTCATTGCTTCTTCCTATAACCCTGTAAGAATATAAAAAAGAGGGAAATCTTAACACTGGGTAAAAAAAGATCAGTATGTAAAACGACAAAGCACCACATTCAATTCAATACACAAATTGAATCTCAACAAGAAACCAACATGAATCACTCATCTGTTTGTTCATTTACTTCAAATACTTCTTTAAAAATGGAAACTTTCAAGGGGGCACTAATGAAGGACACTGAAGGGTCCACAGCAAGCAATGAAACTGCATCCCAGTTTAAATGTTTGTCACCAACAACAGGGGCGGATCCAGAGAAATTTTCTGACAGTCTTGCAAATTATCTTTGTTGATTCATCCTCTATTTTTGACCGTCTTCCGACAGAAAAAATTAGACACCCGTCAATGTAAACTTGAAAATCTGACCGTCTTCCAGAAGACCCAGAAGACGGCCTAAATCCGCCCCTGAAAAAACTGATATGGTGCTTCTTTCAAGTGACACCTACAACGCATTTTCTACCTGACATATACTTGACAGTTAACTTTGGCTATGTTCACAACCAGTTCATCCACTTACCTATTAAGGTGTTCAAATAATACTTTGAGGGTGTCGTAGTTTGGGCGCGGTAGCGTCTTTACAATATCTCGTAACATTGGTATTCGTTTAGATGGGTCTCCTTCTGCAAAGGTAACATGGAAGTGTAGGTTTTAAAAATCATGTATTCCTCTGTTTGTAATTACAGTTTGCTGGCTTTAATTACAGTTTACTGAATACATTAATAAATGTAATACAGGAATAAGTACCAAAACTGTTAACTTTTTTCAAAATATAACCCCCCTCCCCCCCCCCAAATAAAAAAAAAAATTTAGAAAACAATATAATACAATACAAATGAAACACAACTTGTTGCAATAAATTACAAAAGAAAACAAAAGATGTGAATTGTGCCACTTCCAAAACGTGTCCACTCTAACAAATGCCAGAGACAAATAGCTCACTCATGTTATAGAAGTTTTCAAATACTTAAATATTTTTATCTTAAACTATTTGCGTACATATTCATTTATAATCCACTCACTTATTGCTGCTATTAGCCTATCGAATACCGCAAATGGGAAGACTGGCTCCTGAAGCTCTCGGAAGAACAACTTCAAAGATCCTGTCAACACGTGGATGTCCCACTCTGACTCAAAGAAGTTATACTCTCCTGAAAACATAAAAAACTTATTAATTAATAATAAGACCTTCAAAAGTTTAAGCATTTCTTAGAAATGAAAATGAAGTGAGCAACCACAAAATGCCATTTTTTTTTCTTTTTTTTTTTGCTGTTTTATATTTGAAAATGGAAAAATTATCTGAAATTTATTTTCTTTTCTGTTTCCTTTATCAGACAACATTAAATTCCCCTTATTTAAATTACTGTGAAAAGATAAAAATGTGCACCAATTATGCAAATAAAATTTTCATCACAAATATCACTGTCAATGTTATAAATACAAGGGTAATATTCACACACACATGATCTCTCTCTCTTACATGCACACAAACAATGGCAAAATACAATGATTGTTCAGTTTTATCAAATATGATTATCTTTGAAAATTCAACACTGAAAAAAGGTAAGATGGAAAGTATAGCCAATTAAGCTTGCCTTTACATGAAAAATCTGTTTTCTAAAATCTATTTGCAGTATCTTGTGATCATGATCTGTGCCCTGAATATCCCACAGCGTAATTACGGGCAGCACAAGCCAGTTTCTTCCAAAACTGTAATTAATTCTCCGAACTGCCAATAATTACGCCGCAGGGTATTCAGGGCACAGACTGTGATCACAAGATACCGCAAATAGATTTTTAGAAAATAGATTTTTCATGTGAATGCAGCCTAAGTCTCTCAAGTTATTTATAACAGGAATGTGTGTCTACACGTGAAAACACAGCAAACAGTGTGTAAAAGATCAGTTAAAAAAATAATGTGCCAAATCATTAACTGCACAATACAGTGAATACATGTATATTCAGACAAAAACTCAATCCTAATTCAGGCAAATTGTAATTCCACCTATGCTCAATCCGCTTGCTGGGACTGAGCCTAAGTAAATTTAGAATCTGCCCAAAACTGGGACTGGACTTTGACTCATTACAAATCCCAAAGTTCTGAAATCGGCAATCTCCTCTGTCAAGTGACAATGTCAATTAATATTTATCGTCATTTCTAGTTTAAGAGAGTATTAACAACCAGTTGATCCATGAACAAACTAGTCTGCAGATCAAATATGGCTGACCAACTTGAAGGTTGCCATGTAATCCCCAAATAGACACAGAACAGATTCCCTGTGGGGATTATGCACATGCTTTCAAGTGGGTTGACCATATATGACCATCATATTTGATTAGTGTGTGGATCACCTAGTTGTGAATGCTCTCTTAGACAAACTGGTTAACAGAGATGTGAGCACACTTTATAAACAAAATGGACAGAAGTAAAGCAAGATGGAAGGTATCTTTTCATGGATCAAAATAGAAGAGGTTGTTGCTATATCATCTATTTTGGTAGATTTATAAATACAAAGTAATCTGTTATAAAATGGGGGAAGAAAATATCTACAAGGCAAATTAGATAAAGAATGTAGGATAATATCAACTGCTTTATTTAATGTTTTCATTTTTAAATTTTGATTTCATTTTTTTTACTCTTGACAAAGATGCTTGAATAAAGTTCACACAACAGGGTTAGGAGAATCTCAAACTGCATTTCTACACTTCTATAAAAACTTGCCTTCTTGGTCAAGTAAGGACATAATCCCTACAAAAATTTTCAATTAAAGAAATTCAAAGGCTGTAGAATATATACACTTGAAAATTTGACTGCAATGAAGTAAAGAAAAAAAGACAAAAACTAAAAAAAACATAATAACAAACTTGTACACAATTACATGCATGTACATTTATTTTATGAATATTGTACATATACAAATGTTGACACAGGTGTGAAATTTAATTACGGCCTCACCTTGGTCAACAGCACACCTGAGTTTTTGCACCTGTGCCAGATTTCCGCTCACTCTGTAGATCCCATCTATACTGAGACCTGAAAGTTTATAATTTCACATCAATAACAAATAGCAATATTTTCACTACTTTTATCTCATTAATAACTGAAATGAAACAATGTCAATGAGCAGTATGAATCTATGAGTCTCTAAAACATCAGAGAACCTTCCAAAGATATGTCCTCCAATAATTCAAAATAAATAAATAAATACATACAACTTTCATCCCGTACCTTTGTTCTCTATTGCCTGTATGCACCTTTTCACAAATATGGGTACTGTAGTCCTTTCTCTCTCACATAACCTATCCAGGTGAGACCCAAAGACACTCTCTGCAAGAGTACACCAGTTTTAAATTAAAATATCATTTCACAGACTTAACCAAAAAAAAAAAAAAAAATCTCAACAATATCACGTATATGAACCAGCGGTAATAAAACGAAAAGTCAAATATGTCTTTTCTGGATTCCAGATTTCAGCTTTCTTAACTACAGCTACACAAATCTCCATTGTTCTATGCATTAAACACCTTGAAACTATTTCTTTTCAAAAAAACTATTCTAACCCTACCCTAGAAAAAGATAGAAAACCCTTAAAATATCACATCAAACATACATCAATAATTGTAGATTGGAGATATTCCTGGTTTTAAAATTAACAAGAAAGGCACCTTGCAAAATTCCCTGCTCCTGTAAAGACTCCATCGTTGGGCGCTTCTTTAAGAATTTCAGCAACCTGTCACGGATTTTGCTCTTTTTGTCACTGAAGTTCATCTGGTCCACTGTTTCCTGGTCTGGGGTGACAATATATTTACTACTGGCTGGAAAAAAAATCAATTCAAAACTTCAGTAATATGTAATGGGAAAGGAGGGGCATACTGTAAACATTAAAACGGTTTGTGTAATTCTTTGAAATATGGGTAATATGGAGAATAAATTCTCATAATAGCCCAGATTGAAATGAGAAATTTACAGCAGGCAATTCAATTGTCATCATATATGACTGGCATACAGCTTTCCAAATATTTCTTGCATATTTAATATGATTGCATCTCAGCAAATTAAATTCAATACATTGATCAATTAATTACATTTAATATCAACTAATTAATACTGACTCTCGGTGATCACATATTGTTTGTCTATAAAAAATCTACAGTATGTTAGTATTACTTAGCATACTCTTTTTTTACTTTAAAAAATTGACAGAAATCAGTCTCCATTTATAATCACAACAATAAACCTGACAGTAACCATTCATACAATCTATTGAACTTCTGTATATCTGACTATAAAAAATTGCTGATAATCTTTCTATATTTTCCAAATCCTAATTACTGGCAATATATTATAGGGAAGCTTTTAAACAGAAGCCCTGGCTTTCTATAATTCAATGTACATATCATGTGATTTAACTAGAGTATGAATATAAGAAAATAAAGCAAATCAGATGATTCTTCAATTTGTCCCTTGATTTCATTCTTAGGTTCATTGGAATGTAAAAAGCATGGGAATGTCAAACAGAAGGAAGTCAAGTTTGATTTAGATTGCAATTTTTGTCTGTTTTTTAATTTATTTTTAATTTTTAAGGTAACTGACAAGCAAAATGCAGGTTTATAACAAAAAGAGCATGTATCCTAAATAACTGTTAAGCAGGCTCTTAAAAAACTTTGCTACCACAAATATAAATAAATAAATAAATAAATAAAT